CAATTTTAGATTACTGAATAAACAGAGATCGGGTTGTATTTCTCCAATGACGTGTCAGATATTGTCTCTGAGTGTTTCAATAGTTCGGGGCTTATTACCCCTATAGAAATAAATCCAATGGAATAAGATTACATGACCTTGCTGGCCACGTGCTGTATGGCAAGTGACGCCATTCTGTTGGGAAAACGTGTTTTCCAGATTCATATTCTCTAATCGAGGCCAAAAGAAATCTTGTATCATCGTGCGGTACCTTTCTCCTTGCTCATCTTCAAGCAAATAAGGACCGAAGACGCCGCCAGACCAAAATCCACACCAGACAGTATTTTCTGGTTGCAGTTGGCGCTCTTCGATCTCTCGTGGGTTTGGTTTACCCCAAATCCGACAGTGCTGCTTATTAACGAAGCCGTTAAACAAAAAATAAGCCTCATCTCTAAAAATGATTTTCTGGCCGAATTCAGGGTCTGCTTTTAAATGCTATAGAGCGCAATTAACAAAACGTCGACGAAAAAGATGATCGTTTGGGTTGAGCTCTTGGGTCAACTAGATCTTATAAGTATCCCAAGTCTTTGCGCAAGATTAGCCAAACTGAAGACTGAGAATGGTCTAATTCTTGCGAACTTCGCCCCGACACGTCGGGGACTTAAGAGTTTAGGATTCTCATTCACACTTTCTCTAACAGTAGCAATATTCTCAGACCGGGCGTTACGACAACGCACAGGTATTGGAAGATTCGTAACAGAGCCGGTTGTCTCAAACTTTGTCACAATTAGTCGAATTTTGGCTTCTGTTGGTCGATCATGAATATAAATAATAAATAACCCTGGACAAAAATTTATATACATATAATCATATATAATTATACCGGGTGTATCTGAGAATAGGCGCACCCCTGTAACTTTTTTATTTATAAAGATAAACACATGAAATTTAGCATGGTTAATTAGGATATAAAATGCCACTTATAAGAGTACAAAACTTCCGGTTTCGCCGGAAATGATATCAACTTTCGGTTTAACAGCTATATGCGGATTTTCTAAAGGATAATAATGGTTATTGGGTTGAAAAAATCTATCTCTTAAAAAATTCTCTTTTAGTACACAAAACAAGAAACGTAAATGTAGGGTTTCCAGTCACTTGTTGCAACAACTAATTTCAGTAATTTATCCGTAGTTTGAAATCATTTGGTAATAGATTAACAGTATTAACTGTATTAACAGTTACATGTTAAAAAATTAGCTACTTCTCTAGCCCTAGAACGGTAACCATCGTAAATTTTACGACCCTGACTAGCTAATTTCACTGTTTGCATCGTTGTGTATGGTTTTAACCTTTAAATCTTCTAAAGAGGCTTTACAAAGTAAAAGATCGTAATTTTAACGAGGGTTATTGAATTATTATTGAAAAGCACCTGCCTACACTTGTAGACAAGGGATACCTGCACCACCCAAAAGTTTCATATGTCCTGCGAAAAAAGGCGAATGACAACTAATTCTTGTAACAGTTGCCGGAGGCCATATTGTTCAGAACGTGCAATATTTTGTATTAATTGTGCTACAAATATAAGATAATTTCTCATACTTATGACTAATCTGTTAAATAAAGCTTTCTCTACGAACGTATCATATATCCTTTCATGGGTTTGCAAAATGACGGGTAGTAAATTTTACGATGGTAACCTTTAACGTATATGTTAATAAGATTACCGTATATGTTAATAACATTACCCTAGGGCTAGTACTTCTCCCAAAAGTTACAAAACATGATTTTCCATTTGGGGTGTTGGGAAAATAATCAAAAAGGGAAGTCAAGCCACGTCAAGTGGGACCAGAAAATTTCACGAAATCACCGATTTTAAAAATAATCACATTATTGTGTACTTAGTAGGCATGACGCATATGTCACAGTAAAAAAATTGTTTTGAAATTCCCTTTTTTAGTAATGTTATTAAAGTTGATAATTTTGTCAAACCTTAGAGAATTGTAAAGTTGAAAAAATAGAATCTCTGGGACCACTCTGTTTAATTGAATTAAATGTTACACACTATTGAAGCAATGTTTAGACTATTGAATGACCATTTAATTAAGGTAAATTTGTTTAAATAAAAGAATTTTGCATACATTTATTATAAACAATTGAAATTTTTTATGTGTTGTTCACGCTGAAAAAAATTAATCTTGTGTCATAATATGCGGAAAACGTTCCCGTTTAATAAAATATACTCAAAAATTTGTCCTTCATAGGTCATTCCGGAGATATTAATTTTTTTCTACCGCTGTGCGCTTGAGCAGTACGCGGCGCGCTTCGCTGCTAGCTCGTTAGCAGTGCTAACTTAGCACAGCTTTCCGTTAGAACCGACGAGCTAGCAGCGAAGCGCGCCGCGTACCTACTGATCGAACGCACAACGGGACAAAAAATTTAATATTTCCGGAATGAGATATAAAGGACAAATTTTTGAGTAGATTTTATTAAACGGGAATGTTTGCCGCATATCATGACACAAGATTAATTTTTTTTCAGCGTGAAGAACACATAAAAAATTTTAATTGTTTATAATAAATGTATGCAAAATTCTTGTATTCAAACAAATTTACCTAAATATTTTCTCGAAAAACCCTCGAACACGTAAACTGAGATATAAGTTGAAGTATTTTTATCCAAAATTTCATAAATAATAATAAAGGCGTTTTGGAGTTAGATTTTTTTTACAGTGGTTGCAAAAATTATGGCCAATTTGGCACGGTTTAAACGAATCGAAAATCACTTTACTTCTCCCATTCATTTTACACTTGATTTTTTTTTATTGTTTGGATTTTTTTTTCTTAGCCACTTTAGCTACTTTAAAAGTTATTGTTGATTCTCTTTTTTAAACGCAGAATTGGAGAACTTGCAGTTTGAATAATAAGATCATAGATGGCATTAGGCTACATAGCGTACCATTCAATTTGAAAATTTAGCTTTGCTCGATTTTTTTTGACAATTTACATTTAGTTTGTCATGTTTAAATATTTTAAAAATGTTAAAAATTGGTACTAAAATTTATACAACAATATTTAAACATTTTTAAACTAAAGAATTTCTGAATTGTTACTAAGCAGTGTTTAGTAAACACATAAATACAACATATATATAAATTTAATTTATCAATTAATATTGTAATGCATTATAAATTAAAAAAATATTAAATTATTTTACAATTATTAGATAATTAGATGCATTCGCAACACACCCTAGTGTGCAGACACACCGAAGCGCTAACCATCGCTCTGACCATATGGCAGTAGCGTAACTAGGGGGGGCGGGGGGGGCTGTCCGCCCCGGGCGGCACTTCTTGGGGCGGCAAAAATCGTGAGAGAAAATGCGAAAAAAACTGGAAGATAGAATATAAAAATAAAAAAAATAATTAAATATTCTCTTTCGAAATAATATAATTCAAATTCCAATAGATTTGAGATTTATACAATTACTCCCAAAATAATCCAAATCAAATAAAGCTAGCAAAAAATAGAAACAAGACCGGTATTATTTTGTTTATTAAGAATGTATCTATTGTTTTTTTTTCTAAATATTTAAACATTTTTATTTATTTTTTACTCAGGTTTAAGTTTTTTTGTAGGTACTTTTACATAAGGTTGAGAATTTATCTCTTTGTTTTTTTCATATAAATTATGTTAAAGCACATTTTATTTGTTGTTTTTCTTTACCTAGGTCTAAGAATTTTTGTTTGTTTTTAATTCTTAAAATATTACAATATATATGTTATATATTTAATTATATATTTTTAATTTTGCGTACGGTCCTCAAAACTGACTCCTAACCTAACCTCTCTTCCCCCCCCAAAAAAAAACATGAGGGCGACAGCCACTGCTGCCCCGGGCGGCACTTTTTCTAGTTACGCCGCTGCATATGGTCCTATGCTACTATGCTGCTATATAGCATTCAAACACAACGATTGGAAAACCAAACCTTTTGCCTAGATTTAAAACTGTGCATTTTTTAGTGAGAGGATCTATTGTGCGATACTTATTGTATTGGATAAACAATATAATTTAACAAAAAAAAAATGGAAAAAAATAATTGTTGGCTACTTTATATTTTATAAAATTAGTTTTTTTACTAATTTAAAAGTATCGCATAACAAGTAAAAAAAAATCCAACTCTAAAACGCCTTTACAAATCTTTATACAATTTTGGATAAAAATACTTTAACTTAGTTTACCTGTTCAGGGGGTTTTTCGAGAAAATATCTTTAAAGCCTAATAATAAAAAACGCTCGAAAAAAACTTTTATAGGGAAATTTTTTTTTAAGTAAATAAAAAATATGCTGTTAAATACCGTATTTTTGTTAGTATACCCTGAAAATTTTGTACAAATCAAACGGACAGTAACGAACTTCAAAGTCTGTAAAAATGACCCCTTTTTGATTATTTTGCTGACTTTAAAGCGCTTTATCTTTTGATTTGTACAAAATTTTCAGGGTATATTAACAAAAATACGGTCTTTCACAGCATATTTTTTATTTATTTAAAAAAAAATTCCCTATAAAAGTTTTTTTCGAGCTTTTTAAAGATATTTTCTCGAAAAATCTCTGAACAGGTAAACTAGTATTTTTACCCAAAATTGTATAAAGATTGGTAAAGGCGTTTTAGAGTTGGATTTTTTTTTACTTGTTATGCGATACTTTTTATGCGCAGTGTATTTTTTTAATATTGCATTTTTGTGCATACTTTGCTTTTTAACCTGTCTATTTTGCCTATTTTGGGTGCCTAAAAGTCCGTTCTCAAGTACTCAGTTTTAAGTAACTTTCTCCATTCTAAAGCGTCAATAATATCTATGCAATAAATCCTTACAATTAATGCAACATTTAAAAGTTTAAAAAACAAGATATAAATCCTGCAAACAGAGACATCTTCCGGCAAATCGCCGACATAAATGTTCCTTAAGGGTAAAATAGTATGAATCCTCGCTCCAGGATGACCTATATAAATGCGTGTGCGCACTAATCAAAAACGAAAATCACCTTTTATATTATTGTTGAAGCATTCGTGAAATAAATAAATAAAAGAAGGTATACAATGTAAGTAAAAGGTATGTAGTTATTATATTTAGATGCATAAGAACTTTAGTGCTTTATATGTAACATAGGTTGAACACAAATACGAATTATTGATCGATTGAGGTTAAAAGTATTTTCACAGACGAAAATAAAGTTTTTTTTTAAGATCTAAGCTATTTTCTAAAAAAAATGTTTCATATTAAAACTGTATTTACCTACTATTGTTTTTTGGAATACATATTATACATTCATTATCAGTATAGATTTGTGTTTGTAGGGCACTTTAAACTTTTTATAAATGGTATTTTGCTATTTTTAGAATTTTCTTGACTAAGATTTCAAAATTTTATATTTAAAATAATATTCAGTAGTGCGTAGTATGTAAATTATTGATAAATTTGATGATTCAATTCGGTGTTTTCAAACACTGTTTTGTGAACCCTGCGTGACATTTAACGAGGCCATAGAATAAAGCGTCTTATTAAACGCCAGTTAAGTCTTTTTGGCTCGTGTTTTATTAATGGTTTTAATTAATTTGCTAAAAATTTACCAGGCAAAATCCAACATAGTAGAAGTAAATGTGTTGTAAGTTTAAATTATAAAAACTATATTTCTAAAAAGTTTTAAAACACAAATAATTGATAAAATTATAGTTTCTTTCTTTAAAAAGTATTAAAAGGACAATGTTAGAAAAAAAACAAAAAGGTTATGTGTATTTAAATCATATTTAGAATTTTAATACCCGTTATTTTTTGAAATTCTTCATTTAATTAAATCAAAATCTACATGAAAATGTGTTTTGAATACTTTCATTTAAAACGTATAGATTTTGACCTACGCATTGTAAGGGAAAATGGTTGCCTAGCAGTGGGACTCTACAGTCTGAATAAAAAAATACATGCATACAATATATATTTAAGTCTTTTAAATTTAATTTAAATCATTCAAATAAATTTTTAAATATATTACTTTTAAAGCAGTAAATTTTTGAAAAAAAAATATTAGTTTGATTTAAAAAGGCGACACTATAATAAAGGTCTGAACTAATTTTTTCCAAAAATGTTCTTATTTGCGAACGTCTATTTATTCATCCATTTATTCTATAATATAGTAGGAACATCAAAGATTAGATCAGGGGTTCCCAAACTTATTTACTTTACCACTAACAGGTTTGATTTATTTTCACGGCACCCCAATAATTTTATTTGAAGAAATAAAACACGGAAATACAAATACAGCATTCAATAATTTGTTTTTCTACTTGGGGGGGCTTCCTTCACGGCGCCCAAGGGCGCCGCGGCGCACTTTAGATAATAAAAATATAGACTATAGTCTATATTTTTATTATGTAGTCTATGATATTTCTACTCAGTTTTAACATTCACTTCGAACACAGTTTAGTATATTCTTTAAAAAAAGTTAAATTAAAAATTTAGGGTGCGCTGCGAACAAAAAAAATCCACCCTAATATACGTGTATATGCATATGTATACATATATATATGCAGGTCAAAATAATAAATCTATTTTAATAATTGTGTTACTTTTTAACTATAAAATTTTATTTTCACCCGAAAATATTTTAACCAGAAATTTCTTAAAACATCCAAGAAGATTTTCTACCAATTTGTGAAATTCCCATAACTAAGCAAGTTAGCAATTTTTTGGCAAGCCAATCAGACCGCAACATATTTATTGTTCTGGTTCCGAAAATATATTTTATTTTTTAATACTATAGTATTAAAAAGCCTTCAGCAGTGGCGTATCGACATTACCGCGAACGCCCGCCACCGCGGGGGCCCTAACCTCGTGGGGGCCCTGCCGATACTTGCCCCAAGACATTAAAAAACTTATTTCCATCTTATTATCTAAAATACAGAAAAAGAAGGCGCGACGCTTAAAAAATTATGTAAGATTGCTTAGATTGCTAGATAACTAGCTGCTATAAAAATATGTTATTATTTTTCTATTATTTTATAGTAGTAGTACGACAAACTTAAAATTATTTTCTCTCCCATACAAATATTCTACAGATTTTGAAAATAGTCGTAAAAAAATGATACTCGTGTCTCGGTGTTTTTTCAGATCCGGCTTCAATTACAGCTAAATGTATAGTTTTTTAAAAAATTTATTTAATTAATAAATGGACAACCATTAAAGCTACATTTTAAGGGTGTTGCACATTTACAAAATATAGCAAGTGGTGTTTTTTAGGTTGTGATACCACTATAGATTTTGAAGCAATGTATAACCGTCAAACTAAAAGACCAAGATTTTCCAATACCTATAAGATAAATTTTTTTATAGTGGAAATTTTGTATTATTTAAAAAAAATATTTTATAACAAAATAGAAAATTAAATATCTTTATATGTTAAAATAATAAGAATGGCTGTATAAAAATATTTTAATGACGTGATTTCGTAAAACACGGATACGTTTTTTAACCTATATTTTCAAAATCTGTTAAAATTTTTCATGGGAGGAAAATCGTGTGGAACTGTGTTATAGGTAGATACAATGGAGAACCTTATTTTAAAAAAAATATTCTTTCCCTTTTTGTAAAAAAAAGTTGTTATTTTTTGTTTATAATCTTTTTTTTTAATAAATAAAAATAATAAAAACATCATGTCACCTGATGTTTTATTTTTTATTTTCAATATAAAAACATGTACAAAATATTTGAAATCAGGGGGCCCAGTAAAGATTTTCGCGGTGGCCTTCAGATTGAATGTTAATCAAAATTTTGTGAATTAAAGGGCGAAGCATAATTTTTTCCCGTTTCTCAATACAGTTGGAAGTTATAATTCATGATTTCTTTGAAAAAAGTCATTTGATTTCATTTCCGAATTAAATCCCTGAATTAATTTATTCCCTGTAAGCCAGATATATTTTAAATTATTTATATTTTTTACCTTCGACGCAGTCTCAAAAATACAATTGCGGTATTTTATTTTTAAAAGAAATTACTCAATTTTCTGTTTGTAGCACTGGTCTGTGGTTTGTAGGAAATGCAATAAATTTAATAAAATAAGAACTCTTAGTTGTCTAAACACAGGCGTAGAATCTAATGTTCCTGAAGTCTTTGCACAGCTATACATTCATTTTAAATTATGTAGTAGTAGTAGTTAGTATAAATACAACTAGCTAAAAGCTAATTAAATAATAGAGCTGTATTCGAATACTGTAATCGAATACATTGTTTGTATCCGATCAGTGTACTCGAATCTTTTCTAAATCTTGTATTCGTTATTCGTATTCGAAAAGTTAATTGACAAATACAATGTTTGTGCAAATATCAAAGAAATAAAAAAATAGAAAAGAGCATAAAAAACGAAGGTGAGTGGCTAATGTATTTTGAAAAAGTTCCAAATATACTTGTTTGCCATCATCATCGGCACTAGTTACACTGCTTTTTTTAAACCGTGTTTCTTTTTAATTTTTAGAGTACCTTAACAAGAGTATTTGAAAAGTATTAAGATAATTGGATTTAAAATCATATTTTCTTAAAAGTATCCCATATTTATATTCGTTTTTAAAAATTCTTAATAGTGCAGTTTTTTCATATCCGACAAATGTAAATGTGAAAAAGCCATTGTTTTCCTAAACAATATGTTTCTCGAAACTTCTCGCATAAAATCGATTTTACCTTTAAAATTGTTTTTCTACTCCCACCATTAAAACGCCCTTTATCGTACATGTTTCCATGACACTTTTAAATACACATTGACAAGTTGTGGCTTTATGGCGTTTTAGTCATGGGCTGAAGTTAGCAACAGGTTTTTAGTCACGGGATGAAGTTAGTTTTAAGTTAGTTGACAGTTGTAAAATGTCATACAATCCTTAAAATAAAGTGCCCTTCTTATAAAATAATACTAAATGTGAAAATTATTTTTTTATCGCAATACAAAAATACAAAAGCATTAAATAGTTTCTCAACGCCAATATTTGAAAAGTTTATATGAACATTGTACTGACCTTTTAATTTCGCCGAAAGTAAACTGGATAGGTATAACTTAAATTCGAGCTCGGACTCCACCGTGAAGTGCTCATAAAACATTTTCTTTACCCTTGTTAATCGATTTTCAACGAAAATATTTCGATTTATAACCTTTATAACATAGAAAAGTTTGACATTTTACGGTACCTAACACAGATTCCCCTATTGTTTCATAGATAGCGCTCTATAAAATATTTGATTTAAATCATTTTAAGATAATAATAAGTATTTGTCGTAGAAAAAGTATAGTATGCACCTCGTTTATAAACTTTTCTATACACTCATTAATTTAAGAACTCGCTCGCAATCTCGCTCGTGCCTAAATTAAATTCGTGTATAAAATAGCGTTTATCAAACTTGATACAAAATATACTATTTTAAAGCTTACATTTAATAGGAAAATTCTTTATAAAATAGTATGGGCAGATCCATTACTTATCGACAAAAGTGTGCGGGGGTAAGTCACCGATTTGGCAGCTGATTTTTTTCTTGAAAGTAGGTCATATAAGGAGACGATCCTGAAAATTTGAGCTCGATATAGGTAATTCCGGCTGCAAGAAAATTTTTTGAAATATAAAAAAAGTCGATTTTTTAGTCATTTTCAAAAATTCGTATCTCAGCTCCTATTTAACTTAGAGATTTGATCAAGACGGCATTTTTCTCTGTTATCCCTCTTTTTTTAAGAAAAAAATAGATTTTAAGTTTAAACTCAAATCCGGATAAGCTGTACGCCTCCAAATAAAACACTGCTTAAGATAAATTTTGCCAATTTTTAAAGTGCTCTCAAATCTACAGTTTTTGAAGCAGTGGAATAAATGACAGATGATATTTTTCGTTAAGGTATACTCTGTTGGAATTTACCCATTTTTTACTTGATTGCTTCGATTTCTCTAATGTATGGCCACTCAAAGACAATTGATTTTTGAAAAATCAATGTTTTCAGATACCTACAACTTTTTTCTATCGATCCGAAATCCTTTGAAAATTTCAGGGATTATACTTTATTCTATTCCCAAACAAACCATCAAAACTTTTCTTTGGGTATTGAAGTGGTTTCCGAGCTATGAATTTTTAAAAATGTCAAATTTTCAATATAATATGACATTTTTGGTAGTTTTATTCAGGCCAATTCACTAACATAAGTTGTTAACGTTAGCCACTAGAATTAGTGGTTATCGTTATATTTAAACGGCCCGATTGGCCGGATTGCCCGATAACTACTGATTCTAGTGGTTAACGTTAACGACTCATGTTGGTGAATTGGCCTGATTATCAGTTAAATGAATTATTAGTAATACTTTAGTCAATAATCTATTAGACCTTGTTCATTTTTCTCGAAAGTAAGTCATATAAGGAGACGATCCTGAAAATTTGAGCTCGATATGGGTAATTCCGGCTGCAAGAGAATTTTTTGAAATATAAAAAAAGACGATTTTTTAGTCATTTTCAAAAATTCATATCTCAGCTCCTATTTAAATTAACTTAGAGATTTGATCAAGATGGTATTTTTCTCTGTTATCCCTTTATTTTCCAGAAAAAAATAGGTTTTAAGTTTAAACTCAAGCTGCAAGCCTCCAAATAAAACACTGCTTAAGAAAATTTTTATCAATTTTTAAAGTGCTCTCAAATCTACAGTTTTTGAAGCAGTGGGATAAATGACAGATAATATTTTTCGTTAAGGTATACTCTGTTTGAATTTACCCATTTTTTACTTGATTGCTTCTATTTCTCTCTGTATGGCCACTCAAAAACAACTGATTTTTGAAAAATCGCTTTTTTCAGATACCTACACCTTTTTCTATCGATCCGAAATCCTTTGATAATTTCAGGGATTATACTTTATTCTATCCCCAAACAACCCATCAAAACTTTTCCTTGGGTATTGAAGTGGTTTCCGAGCTATGAATTTTTAAAAATGTCAAATTTTCAATATAATATGACATTTTTAGTAGTTTTATCAGTTAATTGAATTATTAGTAATACTTTAGTCAATAATCCATTAGACCTTGTTCATAATGTGCAGCCAGCCTATAATGATAATTAATTTAATGCTTACCGACAGATATCAATTAATTTATTACGAATTTAACTGATAATAAAACTACCAAAAATGTCATATTATATTGAAAATTTGACATTTTTAAAAATTCATAGCTCGGAAACCACTTCAATACCCAAGGAAAAGTTTTGATGGGTTGTTTGGGGATAGAATAAAGTATAATCCCTGAAATTATCAAAGGATTTCGGATCGATAGAAAAAAGTTGTAGGTATCTGAAAACAGCGATTTTTCAAAAATCAATTGTCTTTGAGTGGCCATACATTAGAGAAATCGAAGCAATCAAGTAAAAAATGGGTAAATTCCAACAGAGTATACCTTAACGAAAAATATCATCTGTCATTTATTCCACTGCTTCAAAAACTGTGGATTTGAGAGCACTTTAAAAATTGGCAAAATTTATCTTAAGCAGTGTTTTATTTGGAGGCTTACAGCTTAGCCGAATTTGAGTTTAAACTTAAAACCTATTTTTTTCTTGAAAATAGAGGGATAACAGAGAAAAATGCCGTCTTGATCAAATCTCTAAGTTAAATAAGAGCTGAGATACGAATTTTTGAAAATGACTAAAAAATCGACTTTTTTTATATTTCAAAAAATTCTCTTGCAACCGGAATTACCTATATCGAGCTCAAATTTTCAGGATCGTCTCCTTATATGACCTACTTTCGAGAAAAAAATCGGCAGCCAAATCGGTGATTTACCCCCGCACACTTTTGTCGAAAAGTAATGGATCTGCCCATGTAGGTACTAAAAGTAAATATAATATTTATTATTACAGAAATATTTCATAATTATTTTTAAAAGGAAAAAAATGCAATCAATGGTTAGCCAAATATAAGAACAATTCTTCCAAAATAAAGAATTAAAAACAAATTAAGTAACATATGTTTTTCTTATTTTTAATCACACCCTTAATAAAAAGCTTTCAGTAAGTGAATATAAAAAAAGTTTGTTATACATAGATTAATACCTAATTTGTTTATTTTTGGAATATATGTAAAATGGTGCGGTTGATATTGTTACTTTTAGAAATAAAAAATAAAATGAACTTATTATAAATATTAGGGTGTTTAAAAAAAACTAAAAAATTTTTTTCTAATGGTGTTGTAAAATTAATAGTCTTAATATTAATATTAAGGTTTTCCTCAATTCATTTGTTGTTTTTCCATTGCAATAACTCGGGAATTTTTATTTTTTAAATTTTGAATTCTTATAACTTTGGAATGGTTTGTTTTCGCAACACCCAAGCGAGAGGAGTTAAAGACCATTTCACGCTCTACAAAAAACATTTGAAGGTCAAAGTTCTTCAGGTCAACCGTTTCAAAGATATCAGCGATGAAAAATAACACTAATAGAAAATTTCAAATATTTTAAAATAAAATACAAAAAATATCATATGCCATTTTAAGAGATTATATAATTTTTTTAATAGGACCACTTATTACGAAATTATGCGACATTTTATAAACGCATACCTGAAATAACAGTTATAGTCACGGTCAAATCTATATGGGTGCACGTCATCAATGAGATATAATGACGTCAGCATTACCAACTTTGAATTGTAAAGTTACTGCCGTTAAATTTGCGTAATTCTGATGTGTTATTAAAAAGAAATCATTCGTTTTTTCACGAAATTATCAAAATAAAACCATTCACTTAGTAATTTTTGTGTGTGCCAGTTGGTAATAGCTTAAGACTGGCGCGCACCTTTCAATATTATTGATGGGTCGCTGTCATTTTATATTTGACGTGTTTTTGTAATTGTGACATTTCGTCCGGAAGCATGTCCTGTGCATCGTTTGTTGCAAATTATTATAAATAATATTATACATTATGTTTATAAGATTCTATCCCTGGATTGTGCAAACAATGATATAAGGCTTGTTGGCAACTAGCCGTTATTAGATTTCGAAGACATTGCGCCCTTAATAATAAATTTGGGGAAATAATCAGACTTCATTTCTGACCTGGTTTGCTCTGATGACAAGGACGACTGGTAATTTATTATTTTTGTGTTTCTGATAATTTAGTATTTTTTTGTTATGTGCATATGTAATAAAAATGTAATAAACTCCGTTTGTTTTCTCTTTAAACACATTTAATAAAAATTTGCCTGTAACAAACTCCTAATTAGTTAGTGCAGAAGATTATAACAAGGACGTTATAATTCCATCTTAATAATAGCCCCCACCGCTATAAACAGTCAACAATACAAGAGCGTTAGATTGTGTCTGGGCACGTATGAATAGACCTTAACGCTGACGTCATATGCCGTTGATGACGTGCACCCATACAGATTTGGCCGCGACTATAGGTATCGGATTATTGACGTCATAAAAAATTGACACATTTTTAAACAAAACACCCGATAATTATATTAATATATTAATACACTGCTGCCTTGTGTATAAAAAACTGATTTCAAATAGTTTTATCTTCCCTTCACAAAAAATCCCACGGGATGCACTATGCTCCAAAACTACAAGGGTAGTCATGCACAACGCGTCCGTAAGAGAAATTTATTATTGATAAGGATTTTTCCTTATTGATAACGAATGATAGGAAAAAATCAACGTCCATATAACGTTGAATATTGGTCTCGCTTATTTTTAAGTGGTTACCCTCAGTGCGTACCCATACTTAAATTTACAAAAAATATAATAAAAATTTTAAAATATTTTTTTAAAATTAAAAAAAAATACCAAAGGTTGTGTAACTATATATTTTATATTTTAGGTATATCATAGAAGAAATATAAACTTTATTATAAATGAAACTAGAAAATGTTTTTAGAACGAGTGATGACAGGTCATGAATATGGTGGACGCATATTTCATTTCCATATTTCTAATTATATTAATTCTTCTTACTTTCGGAGAGACCATTCTAGGAAATCGTACAATGGATGCTTTGGAAGAACTACCAATTAATTTTGCTGGTAAGTGTGTCAGAATAAAATAATTATTTTTTTTATTTTGACAATAAATTCAGGTCATTATAAATACTTATTCAAATGTCACTATTTGTGTTATAATATACATAGGATCTTTAAAGTTTAATAAGTTTTGTTACAAATACACTATAACAAATATACCTACCACAGACAATGTCTGTGATACCTACATAACATCACAAAAACCTCAGGGTACATTTTGCTGATTCTTTAATAAACGCTAATTTAAAAAATTGTATTATTAAAATATTTTTATAATTATAAATAATTATAATTAATTTTTATTCTTTTATTTTCAATTATAACTTTTTTAACATAATTTTTTCATATTAAATATTAAAATTTAAATATCATAAATAATATTTATTAAATTGGTCCTGTGTATATGTCATGTATTTATAACTAACTACACATATTGTCGACTTTATTTAAACATCCAATTTAAATTTTAGCAAAACGAAAAGGAATTAAGGTTAATTAACTGGAATATTTTTAAGGGTACGCTTTTAAGTTGAATTTATCTTTATTTTTAAATCGTTTAATGCAAGTAAGCTAGTGGCACTTTATCACTGCCTTTTTGCAGCAAAATTAATCAAAAATTATGTAAAATTTATTTAAAGTATTTTAATTTAAATTTATAACTTTGGCATCAAATGTGTAATAATATTTATTATTATTTTAAATTATTAATTATATAGAATTTGATTTATTTACTTACAAGACACCAACAAGCAACCTATATAATAGTTTAAACTGTATAATTAAGGAAAATAAGGTCAGATTTAATAACTTTAGTATATATATATAATAAAAAAAATATATAATTATAATTATTTAAATAAAAAAAATATGTGTAGGTATTATATCAATTTAACAGACATTTTGCTGCAGGGTAGACAGAAACGTCCCTAGGGTAATTTTGGCAGGCTGAATCAAAAAATGACCATCATTTCTTCTCTTTATATCTAAACATTCAAATTGAGCGTTTGTGCCTTTTTTTGACTTGGTTTTGCTTATGCTCATACTTCAGGTTGACCACCAGGGATGCCAGGTCTGGTGATTTGTCACCAGTTATGGTGATTTTAGACTGTATTTGGTGATGCGGTGATGACTTTTTAAAAAATAGCTAAATGTGGTGATAAATCAAAATTTTTAATAAATAAGAAAATTTCAGATTTGAGTGAACAGACAAGTAAACTGGGTTGTCTAGTTTATTTAGTTTACCTTGATGTATGTTGGCCCCCCTGCAAGTTACAGGTAACCAACTGTTGGTTATGTCGCTAGACTAGGGTTATGTTGTTATTATTTATTTATTATTTGATAAAATTTGTCGAGTTCATTTTTACTCTACCGAACAATAGTGCTTCTGTAGAACGAATTTTTTCGATTATTAATAATAATAAAACAAAAATCAGAAATAGTTTAGCTGTTAAAACTTTAAATGACATTTTTTATGCTAAAAGATTAGTTACCAATGACGGTTGCAGCTGTTATAATTTTAACAAATATATGCTAAAGAAAAATTGCAATTTAATGTACCAAAATGAAATTTAAATTTTAGTACATAGTAGTACATATTATATGAAACATATGTACCTACTTAAATTTTATCACATTTTATTTTGATAATTTAATTTAAATTGCAATGTTTCTTGTTCTATGTAATTAGTATTAATATAATATAATTTATTCTCAGTTTTGTTTAGAGAGATTTTAAGTTATATGAGATATTTGTTTTATTTTTATACAGCATTTTATAACAACAAATCTATTTTTTATATTTTTACATAATATGGATTATTAAATATTTATTTTTAATTTATAGTAATATTTTTAATAAATAAATTTTATCAAAATCTGGTGATTTTTTTAACGATCTGGTAATTTTTAACCAGACCATCTGGTGATTTCGATTTTTTTGACCTGGCAACCCTGTTGACCACCTAGCTAACGATGTACTGCTGGACAAAGAATGTCCTTACACTCTTCTTGGCAGAAGGGCCTTGTTACAAGGCCCTTGATTTGTGAAGAATATTTCCTTCGCTGTTTGGACATTCGACATTGCAAAAATAGCTGCCGTGAACTTAAAGTGGTTGAAAGGTGTTATGTACGTAACTTTCCTGGAACCCTTGACCTTGAGGAAATTAACTAGTCGTACGTCTTAAATTTCATAAAAAAAGAAAGGAGCTATGCAAAGAAAAACATTAACAAATGTATTTATATAAAATTGTAATTTTTAAGGGTTTTATTCGTATCCTGTAAAATTAAAGTACTGGTTTATACGCCCCTCTAACTTGAAGCTCTCGACATGCATTTATTTAGTACATTAGAAACAAAATACTCTTTAAACTTCAACCACACTAAGGTAAAAATCGTCCTGTGACAATTTTACTTACACTAACTTGTGGACAGTGGTTTTATCTGAACTTTGGAACCAAAGTCGGAACCCCAATGATGCCTTTTCCGACTAAAAATAGGTAATTATTTTGTTTTACCTTTTTACGAACTTTTAATAATAGGCGGCGACCAGAGGTGAGTTTTTTATTTCAATAAATTTAAGTATAACCGATATCTCGTTTTCAAATAATCGACTTCAGGCATGTAGATAATGTTTTAAGCATTCTGAATCTATAAAATTCTAAAAATCAATATTTACTACCCTGATCGATGTTGTTGCCTCTCCTGCAATTTCAGCTGAGCGACCTGAGAGACCCCTTCCTTTCCCTTTCCGCACTTTATATACACATACTAGGTAATTTGAATGTTTGAATATCGAAAAGTTGTTGGCTACCCTGCAGCTAATATATTATTTGGTCGGCCAGTGTTATCAAATAATTTAAGTAAAAATTGCAACATATACGAGGTGTGTTCAGAAAATAACGGGAATTGATAAATTTCGCGGGTTCGGAGGGTCCGGTTGTCATAAAATTTTCTTTATTATGTTGGTATACATTAGAGTGTCCGTTATTTACCAACTTGGTTTTTTTGTTTGCAGTGCCCCTAAATTTTTAGTTTATGACCTAAAAAGAATTATAAAAAAAAATATTCATTTTAAACCGTGCCACAAAGACGATACATTTTCCGTTTAAATAACATGGGGTTTCGGCAAGTTTTACATATATTTTTTTTTCTCTGAAGCAAGTTAAAATACAGCAAAAAGTGATACATTTTTTTATAGGAAATTAAACGCTGTACAAAAAAGCTTTCTTATGTTTTTTTCATAAATTCACTGATTTAAAAGTTATTTAAGGTTAAAGTTAAACTTGTAGTAATTTTTTCGATTTTTTTACTTTGACGGCAAAATTATAATTATTTTTATGAAAATTAATTGTTTCTTTTTGAAAATATGAGATTTTAGTTGTATTATTGAAAAAATAAAAATTATTAAAAAGAGATAAGTAAAAATTATTGACAAGAGATTTCGATAAATTCAATTTTTTTTATTTAACGTAACTTTTAAACCAGTAAATTTATCGAAAAATCATAGGAAAGTTTTTTTGTACAGCGTTCCATTTCCTATAAAAATATGTATCACTTTTTGCTGTATTTTAACTTGCTTCAGAGAAAAAAAACATATGTAAAACTTGCCGAAACCCCATGTTATTTAAACGGAAAATGTATCGTCTTTGTGGCACGGTTTAAAATGAATATTTTTTTTATAATTTTTTTTATAAATCTTTTTAGGTAATAAACTAAAAATTTAGGGGGCACTGCAAACAAAAAAACCAAGTTGGTAAATAACGGACACCCTAGTATACAAGCCCCCGAAGTGTGATACAAACTTTAGCTGTTTTCATTGCCGCTAAGGTTAGACGTGTTTTATAAGCTCGGCGATTTTTTGTTCGTTAAAAGAAATGGATCAAAGAATTTGTATCCAATTTTGCTTAAAAAATTAAATAAATTTTGTGAAATGTTAACAAAGGCCTAAAGTGAGTCTGCTATAAGTAAAACGAGAGTTTACAAGTGGTATAAGAGTTTCCAAGATGGCTGTGAAGACGTTGAAGATGACGAACGCCCCGAAAGCACATTAACAACCGATAAAAACATAAAAAAGTGGAAATAATGGTTATAAACCATCAGAGAAGTCGCTGATGATGTTGGTATATCGATTGGCTCATCCCATGAAATTTTTTAGAATGTTTTGGGTATGAAACGCGTGGCAGCAAAATTTGTTCCAAAATTGTTAAATTTTGAACAAATTTTTTGGCCAAAAACAATACTGTAATGATGCCCCAGCCTCCATATTCGCCAGACATGCCACTGTCTGACTTTTTCCTATTCCCAAAAATAAAGAGAACCTTAAAGGGCCGTCGTATTGCAAGCATAGATGACATTAACCCCTTCAGACCTGAACTATTTTACGACGATAAAAAAAATAAATGGCTCTTAAATCTATCGAATTAGGACCTAAATAACACATATTTGATGCTAAAAAATCTTAATTGTGAAATTTCAGGATAATTTCAGGATGTTCACATGCATGTACATCGAATGTTTTATACGGTTTAGGTGTGGATAATACCAAAATAGTTTTTACATGTCTTAGTACATACCTTTAGGAACAAACTACACCAGTTTATACTTAAAAAATATCTTTACAAATCATCTAAAGACCCGCTAAGACAAACTGTCGTCAACGAGTTGTTGCTGTCATTATGCGCATCTCCATTATATGAGAGAATTTTCAATCAAAAGGGGCAGTTTAAGTAAGAGAAGTCGCAAAATGTACCTTAGTTTGCCAAAACAAATGTACTTGGGGGTGAAAACTAGGTTCTAAATGAAATTTAATGCCTATTGATAGTAAATAAATCACTAAAAAGCTAATGTACATCTGAATGTACACCAGGTCTGAAGGGGTTAAAAGCGCCTCGCTGAAAGAACTAAGGGCTATCTCAAAGATCGAGTTTTAGAAGTGTTTCGGGTATTGGAAGAAGAGCTGGCACATGTGCATAATATCCAATGGGGACTATTTTGAAGGCGACAACATTAATGTAGACGAATAAATAAATATTTGTTTTAAAAAACGAAAATTCCCGATATTTTCTGAACACACCTCGTATACACGTACGAATTTTAATGTTTGAATATCGAAAAGTTGTTGGCTACCCTGCAGCTAATGGAAAATATTATTTGGTCGGCCAGTGTTATCAAATAATTTAAGTAAAAATTGCAACATATAATATTTATTAACTATGGGCTTTATTTTAAAATTAATCGAAACCCAAATTCCTCTCAATATTTAGATAAATAAATTATTACGTACTTATACCTTACATCGTTAAATTTATCTTTAATGCTTTGAAGGCTCTTTTATGTACGCTAATAAGAAATTATCTAATTACAAAGTGAAAGTATGGTATACCATATACATATTTTCCAATAATAATAATGTTATATAAAAATGCTCAACATATTGTCAAATGTATCAATAGGCTTTTGTATTTTTTTGATATTTTGATAACAGATTTATTGGTATAAATGTAAATTTTTAAACCGACAAATCTATTACCATAAAAAACTTACTTTTTAAAGTATATTTTGCAAAACATTTAGCTATTGCTAAGTACTTTTATCTCTTCGCTTCCAACTTTTACACATATATTAAACGATATTCATAAACATTTCCTTAAAAGCACTTTAAAAACAATTTTCATGGGATTTAATTAAAAAATTATTAAATAATTTTATTTTTTAGACAATGGCTCTCACGTTGGAGCAGCATGCGTGAAATCATGTAACGATAGTTTGTTACATGTGTATTGCAACACAAAAATAGGAATGTGTCAGTGCGACAAAAACTACCCTGTAAAATTAAACCCTTATGTTGGCTGTAGTAAACGTAAGTTCATATTTTTAAGTTATAATTGATAGTTTTAATTGTTTATATGAATTTATTGAATATACACTCATCGGCAAAAAAACCGCCCACCAGAAATTGCCAACTATTTTAATGTTGATTTCCTCGCGAACCGCTCATCCGATTTTAATGATTTTTTTTTATTGAACTCTTCTGTAATGAAATTGTGGAGATTTTAATTTTAGCGTATATAGGGTGCTAAGGTAAGAAGAAGTGTTCTGCCTAAAATTTGTGACACCCTGTGGGTGCATCAGCAATAACAGCAGATGTCAATTAAAATTATACTACCTATATCCCTATATTTTCTAAACATTTTTTTGTTTAAGTTATTATCTCTATTATCAACAAAGATACACTGTTTCAAAGCAAACTCCTCGAATAAAGTGTCCGTATGATTTCCTCGCGAACAGATTTCCTGATTTTGATGATTTTTTTTAAATGTTGGTTGATACTTTAGTAACGATGCTACAATATACATATTTATTCAGATTTTAATTTGAGCATATACAGGGTGCAAAATTAAGACAAACTTTTCCCCCCAAAATTTGTGATCCACTATTTTAAGCAAACGCACTTGATAAAGTCTTATATAAAAATAAATAAGTGTAAAGTCGTTATAGAGTCAATCCAAATGAAAACACCAAAAATTAATTTAAAAGTGCGCTGCATGATTTTTTATTTTAATGAAAAAATTTGAGGATGATCTTTTAGGTATCATATATGAAAAACCGTTGCCGTTTTAATTTTTAGTTGCTTTATTTTTAATTGGCACCCTTTAGAAAACTGAAATCGTGTCATTTTTTTACTCTCTTATAAAAGGCTAAAACTTTTTTTCTGTGGCAATTATTGAAATGATTCTAATTTTATTTTACTGCGTAGTAAGTATGTATTCAATATTAATTATTATTATCTAATTAGTTCATCTCATAAAATAATGATAAACCACTAAAGATTTGTAATAATTTGCCAATTTTTGTGATTTTTGTCTGGCTCCTGTGCCTAATTTGCTAAATCTAGAAATTTGCTTTTTTCAGGTATCAAGTACTTATACAATAGAAAATACAATAGAAAACGTAACTATTATTTTAAGTTTCATTTTCTTTATTAAAAAAATTATTGAAAATTTTGCCCTCAGAAATCATTATGTTGAGGAAAAAATAAAAATCTGAAAATTTGAGGAAATGTAGTCCCCACCTTCATCTTTTCAGTCTAGTTAGTCTTGTTTTGTTATTTTTATCCATGTAAAAGATATAATAATTTTTTTAATGCAGTTAAGAAGCAATATTGTTAGTTTTATTTATAATTTGAAATTTAGATGGCTTTGACTTAGTCAATTCATGTTTGGTAGAGAAATTTCAGAACTGTCAAAAATATTTCATAAATATTATTTAAGCGTATTTAACACGTTCACTACCGGCGACCACTATAGTGGCCAATCGGTTGGCTCACCATGAACCGCGGCCACTATACTGGCCTCAAATTTAATCTTACTTAGGTGCAATATAAATTTAGCTGGGTCACAAGTGGTGACTTGTATGTTGTCTTCGGTCTATAACGCGCGCACGGCCAGTTAAGTGGCCTCTGGTTCACTTTTGTGGCTTTATTTACAGTGACTCAGGTTTATTTCCTACGCCAGTTTATGGGTTCAAAAGACCTCTTTCTCATAGAAAATATTCAAGTTCTGAGAAGTTTTAAATTGTTAAATATAAGCAAAAACCAAAAAATATTCTAAATAAACCCCTTTATTATAACATGTTTTATTTTAACCAGTTACCTAAAACCTAAAATTTAAAGAAGTATTTACAGATTGTGTAAATTTTTTTCCAACACTAAAATTTTAAATACATACTTTTTAAAAATGAATTAGTCCAAAATGACTAATTTAATAGTTATTGTGCCATGGTTAACCATGGAATATCATGGTATCCCAAAATTCAACATCCAATTCATATGTAAAATTATCCCCTGAATCCGAAAATAACGTCAAAAATTATGAAAGTGGATCAGTTTTAAGATATAGTCAAATTGACTATATCTCAAAATCTGTTCTACTTTTTTAACTTTTGACGACATTTTCAGATTCAGGGGACAATTTTGGGATCCCATGGTATTTCATGGTTAACCATGGTACAAGTGAAAAAGCAGCCACTAATAACTTTTAAATTAGTCATTTTTGACTAATTCGTTTTTAGAGAGTACATAACTTTTAACTATTCAGTGCCTTACTAAAGGGATCAAAATAATAGAACAATCTTGTTCTATTATTGACTAACTTGGTTTAAATTGTGAAAGAAACCGACAAGAAACTGCTTAACTCATTTTTGATACGTTTAAATTAACTCTTTATTAATTTCACTTATTATACGAGCCCTAACCACATAATGTTCGGACACTTAATAATTTATACAGAAATTTTTTTCGTGAATACTATCTCAAAATTATTAGAAGTTATGAAAAATTCAGCTTATTTTGGCATATACCCCTCGAAGCGATTTTTATTTTTAAAAAGTTTACCTTTTATTTTTAGCTTTTAAAAAAAGGCTAACTTTTTAACTTTTTTTTGTATGAGTAAAAAAAGTTATAAATGGACCCATTAAAAAGAGCATAAAATATTATACAAACCCTGAAAATTTGGTAAAAAATAAATAAGTTATAAAAAAGTATAAGTAATTTAAAAATGCTATTTTTAAAGAGTTTTTGCAATTTTCTTTGGAAACGGGAGATTTTGCAGATATATATATCGCTATAACTTTCTTATTATTTATACAATTTTTACCAAATTTTCAGGGTTTGTATAATATTTTATGTTCTTTTTAATGGGCCCATTTATAACTTTTTTTACTCATGCAAAAAAAAGTTAAAAAGTTAGCCTTTTTTTAAAAGCTAAAAATAAAAGGTAAACTTTTTAAAAATAAAAATCGCTTCGAGGGGTATATGCCAAAATAAGCTGAATTTTTCATAACTTCTAATAATTTTGAGATAGTATTCACGAAAAAAATTTCTGTATAAATTATGAAGTGTCCGAACATTATGTGGTTAGGGCTCGTAATATCGTAAAGTATATATACTTTACGATATAAACCATAAGGATCTTGAATATATTTTTTACATTCTTCTTCTTTAAACACCAATTAGGCAATTAAATACTTCATTATAATGTATATAATATATAATCATATATAATCATATATATATATATATATATATATATATATATATATATATATATATATATATATATATGATTGTATAATATATAAAATATAACATAACTACTAAATATATCAGAACTGTCAAAAATATTTTATAATTATTATTTGTGGTATTCCTTTGGTGATTTTAAAAAGTTTTGTATAACATAATGTGACATATTATGTTATACAAAATTAGAAATTAAAAAAAGGAGTTCCTCAGGGTTCAATTCTTGGTCCTATCCTCTTTATTTTGTATGTCAATGATATGCCTCAATTTATACATCTCTCACAATAAATGATTTAATACAACTATTTGTTCAACACAACAAAATATATTCCAGTGATTTTAAAACAATGGCCTTAAGTTAAATGTGGACAAGACACAGTATATAAAATTCGGAAAGTATGGGTTTGCCGAAAATATAATTAATAATAATAATAAATATTCAGTTGAATTAAATCATTCAGTTAAATTTTTAGGTGTTATCTTGGACAAAAAATTTCATGGAAGGATCAAACAGCAAATGTTTTAAAAAGAATTAACAAGTATCATTACTTATTACTTCCAAGAGCAGTTTTGTTAAATGTATTATGCCTTCAAATCTAAAATATGGAATAATTTTCTGGGGCAATTCATTTCATACAAAGGATTTATTTGTTTTTCAGAAAAGAATTGTAAGGTGTATTTTTAATTTGGAATTCAACGAATCATGTAAACAAACATTTATAAAGAACAATTTACTTACATTGCCAGATATTTATATATTTGAAACGCTACTTTTCTACAAAAAAATTATTCTCTTTTTAGTAACACTAGAACATTCGTACTCTACTAGAAAAAAAGATATGGCATTAATAAATCAGACCAGAATCCACACTGTTTACAAGGGTAGGTATTTAAAATTTTGCCTTGATTTTATTTAATAAATTACCAACAACTATAAAAAATCAAAATCAAAAGGAATTTAAACGTTGTTTAAGAGCATATCTTGTAAACAGATGTGATTACTGTGTTAATGATTTTTTATTTTAGTTAAGAGTTTTTTTGTATGTTTATAGTTTTTTAATGTTTACTTTGTTTTGACGTGTTCTATATTGTACTTTTTGCAATTTCTTTGAACAAATAAAATCTATTCTATTCTATTCTACGCCGTGTTTTTAAACTTATTAACCTGGCCCGGGTCCATTTGGACCCAAGGGTAATTATTTGGTCCTTATTTTGTTAATTTTTGATAAAATCATCCTTCTTATATTTTAAACCCAACTATTTTTATGTGGAATAAATTGGGTAAGAAATAAATTATTTTTGTGTGGGATGGAAGTGAACCCTACGTTGTTCATAGATGTAACAAAATGTGTAGTTACCATATTTGTTTTGATCCCAATGATCGCACTATAACAATGTTAACTTTAATATCTACTAGCTACTATTTAAAAATATTCTTAAAATTATCACGTTTAGGTCATAATGGATTTTACTGTAAATAGTTCTAAATTTACTTTTATACGATAATAAAACGTCATTTTAATGAGGTTCGGGTACGATATTAGTCGCTATGAGAAAATTATAAAAAAATTCTGTTTTAGTAGAGTCTACATTTACAAAGTTTTACAGAGATTGGCCGTATGGTTTTTGAGTAAAAAATTGTTAAGTTGCTTAGACTACATAGGCTGGTATAAGTGAAGTTAAGAAAAGAAGTCATCGATTTCTTTTTGTCATTTTATAACATATGCGTTAATACATCTCCTATTTCTTTAATTAATGCATATTTTATAATGTGACATTGAAAAATTAATGATTTTTTTCTCGTATGCACTTATCCGTTATTATCTAGGGATATTTGATTTGAGTTATTTATGTCATAAGGCTGAGTGCAAAGTTTGAATGACAACGCGTAGCGGGGGCCTTTAATTGAGCGAAACACAAAAAGACATACAACATTTTATCTTTAAGGCATAATTTTGTTAAACAATACATAAAACGTACAATTAAAATATTTATTAAAAGTAAAAATTGAGGTTGGGTAGATCTGTATTCTACTATTTGAATTAGTACCAGCATTTTTTACTAATAAAATAGTCGTTTTCACTTTTAAATAGTTATTTTTTACTACGTAAATAGTTAAAGTTTGACTAATTTAAGATTAGTCACCATATTTGACTATTTCTGACAGTTAAAAGTAACTAATTTCTTTAATCGTTTACGGCCAACAACAAAGTATTATTTGAATTAAATGCATATACCTCTCCATGGTTAAATGACCCATAAAACAAATAAAGATGCAAAAAGTTTAGCTCAAAACAGTAACACAAATAATATATTAAACTTTAAAATATTATGAACATTATTTATTGACAAATAAAATTTATTTTTATAAGAGCGGCTGACAGCCGACTGGTTATGAGGTTAGGTTGACAAGCTTCTCAAGTGACAGACGTGAGTTCAATCCCAGGCTGGGTCAAAAGTTTTTTTAAATTTAAATTTACTAATTTAACTATTTCATTCAGTGGAATTTGACTAATTATTAGTGACTGCTTTTTCGCTATGACAATTAGTCAAATATGACTTATAATTAGTTATTTTTGACTAATTCATTTTAAGACTTTAAAGTAGCCAAATTTTGTTATTGGTCCAAACGGGTTTTTTACAGACTTGAAGATAAAAAAACCTTACTCGATTGGCCTAAATTATGTTTACAGCCTATGAGGTTTTTTGATTGAAGATAAATTATTGTTTTCTAATATAAAAAGGGTTGCCAGGTTTATATTTTGTATTTTTCCTTTATACCGACGTAGATTTAATTTCACGAGACATCCTATACTATTATACAGTACTATTATTATTAGTATTTTTTGATTTATGAGTATTAGGGTGGACCTTAACTATAGTATGAAAAAATAAAAGACATTTTTTTTCTCACGCCGCCCCGTAAATTTGTTCCATTTATTGAAAAAATCATTTCTATAAAATCTGGAATCGATCACATAACGGAAAGACGTGGCACATCGCACATATATATTTTATATAGGTATATGAGAAAATAATACTTTTGTAAAAATTGAAAAATACCTACCAAGTAGTACAATTTAGCCAAGTTTTCTGTTTTAGGTACCAAATAAACTGTTCGATTCTCTGGCCCATGTACAGGGTGATCCATTATAAATGTCCACCCCCCTAACTTTTTTCTTTAGATTTTAGACAAAAAAGTTTTATATAAAAGTTGTAGGGTTCAACAAAAAGTTTTTTTTCGTGTAATGTTTACGTATACAGGGGGATTCAAAACCATATTACAGATAAAAATATATTTTTTTCCTATGGAATGACCTATATTTTATACCCTTATGTAATAACTCTTTAAACTCTGAAAAATATATAACACATTATGGATATTTTTAATATATATGGCAGAAAATGCCAAAAACTGAAATTTCACTTAGGCCATGGGTCGTCATTTTTTCATTCGTCGTTTCATTATTTGTTTTGACGTCTTTATTGAGTTATTTTCGCGCGCTGCAGAGATGTTATCTTCAAATAAACTCTAGAACCCAAGTAATTACCTTTTTCTACTAGGTTTCTTGTCAGCATGCTAAAATTTCTCAGCTAGTAACAATAAGTAGGCTCGCATACAATCCTACATTGACTGTTATGCTGTATGAAACCAATATATTAGGAAATAGAATTGAAAAACATCATGACATTTATTCTTCTTATTGATAAAATTTACTATAAATAAATAATTATTAATAATATCAACAAATTCATCATAAATTTGAGAAAGAGTTAGCTCTTCTATTAGCGGAAAATTCGAAATTTCAAATTCGATGTGCCACGTCTTTTCGTTCTCCGATTGATCTGAAATTTGAAAGAGGATACTTTTTCACAAAATGAAAAAAGTTTAGAGGGCGGCGTGAAAAAAAAACGAAGGTCGAAAATAAGGTCCACCCTAATGAGTATGAGTATGAGTATAAGAGACGTATAACCAGCCCCATTTCCTCTTGACTCTTAAACCCCGTACAGGCCTATGTTTACTTACGCCGATTTTTGTTCTTCCCCAGCAACTGCACGGCTTCACCCGTGTTTGCTGGGTGCGAATGTCCATTGCGTTCTGTACTGTCCCCTATTTGGGGCTCGAGAGCGAGAGGCGAATAGTTATAATAGCCGTTCCCGGGTTCGCCGGGCCTATGCTATACGCTCAGTGAGGTATGGATGAGGGACGGGAGGGAGTTGGTTTTTGGGGGACAATTACGCCGACTTAAAACTAAGTACGACGCGGAATCCCCCTAGACCAGTCGGTTAGTATTACTCCAAACATTTGGGATTACTATTTGGAGTTGGGGAGTTGTTATTACGCTGCAGGGGTGTAGTTTCCTAGTCGAGGTCTTCGTCTTGTTCATTATTGTCATTATCCGTGTCGGATAGTTCCTGAACTTGGTAAAGTGTGTCGGTTGTTTTTTTTTTTTTTTTTTTTTATTTTATTTTTATTGTTGTTTATTTGCTCCCAACTGGTCTTGTTACTTTGTGAGAAGTGCATGTATTGTGCTACGTGTCATGAAATGTGAAGCATGGTCTACCGATTTTTTTTGTCTTTAAGATCTAGTTTAAGGGTGGCTTGTAGTTTGTTGCGTTGTCTACGAGTGACGTGGACCCAGTGTTTAATTGGGCTACTCTTACCCTTTTGGTAATGGTTTTTCCCATTGGTACGATAATCGGCACACATGATAAACTTCCCCGCAAAGAAATACAACCCCCCGCGGCCCCCCCGGAAGACAATCCACACAACGGCAATCGTGCTACGACTACCGCCGTGTAGACCATCCCCCGTATAGGCCACGGGAGGCTGCACCCCCCCGCGGAGGAGCCCATCACTCGTGCCGAGCGTAAGGCCGCAATCGCTGCGATAAGGCAGTTCCCAGTGGGGGTATTTTTTTTACTTTTACAAATTTTATAATTTTCTAAAAGTTCGCTTCTTTCTCTTTTACTTTTTTTTTTTTTTATGATTAAATTATAATAATTATTGTTACATAATTATTACAATTATTGTAACTTAATTCCGAAAATTCGATAATTTTATTTACCCAATTCGTTAATATCAACTTTTACATCTGGCAATACTGCTATTCACACTCAACTTGTTTATGTTATTTTGTCTTCCTGCATATTTAGTTTATTTATTTATTTATCTTACGCCTTTTTCGATGGTTGTTTATGATTTGTCTGCTATGAGAAAATGAGGTTGTTTGTTTAAACTTAAGAAAATGTTCTTATTCTTTTTTAATTTAGTTTTTGAGACAATAAAAGAATTCTTAGTATTTTCTTTTTGCAACATTGTGAAATGCTTACATAAACATTGTGAAATGCTTTTATAAACATTTAGCGAATATACGGTAAGACATGCAATTGGAAAAAATAACTTAGCTTGAGTCCAGTAAATTTCGTGGAAGTGTCGTCTCTCTCACACCTTTTAACCAGGTCCAACACTTGAGGATTTAATCAATGGGGGAGGTACCACACACAATTTGCACTTTTTTGCACTTGGGACAGTTATCACGTTTAGTATCGATTGATTTTTTATTATTTTACGGCGTTAACCAGTTATCACGTTACTACATTTGTATCGTATACGCTGCTTAAGAGAGATCGATGAGCATATGCTTACACTTCAAGCGTCAAGAGCAGAATGTTAGTATTTTTTGATTTAGTAAAGAAAAATTCTAAATCTTGTCTTATGAGACTGGATGTTTATGAATCGAACAGCCTCTTGCATCGCTAACTGTTTTCTGGTGTTTTGATGGTGCTACGGGGGTCTCTTAACTTTTTTGGCGTTACCCGTTTTCTCAAATTTTTACACTCAAATTATTAAATTCTACTGACGAAGCACGATTAATGTGCTGTCATGATAAGCTGAGAAAATTCTCCTCGCGGCTATTAATATAATTTCAAAAAACCAAAACTTAAGTTAAATTTAAATTATATTAACTAACAAATTTTTATGATTTCATTGGATTTTTATAAATAAATAAAATAAAAAAGATTGTAAATGTAAATGTGATTTGTCTGTGAAATGTACAAATTATGTTTTAAAACTGAATAATGAAAACACACTTACTGGCCAATAAAATTAAATTACAATCATTAAAAATTCTGGATAGAGAAAAAGTTTTAGCATAAACTATAGTATGATAATGACATAATTTTAGAATTAATAATAAGGGTCTATAATTTTTTGGAGAAATGTTCTTTATGTAATTAGCATGTAAGGCCCATGCACCAATATAAAACCCGACGAGTGGGGGATGCAAAAAGGCACCCTTACGCATCAGTGCTCACGTAATTGTTGACAAGAGAGTAACTTAAGCCAGAGACAATGGACCCTTGTCTCTGACTTAAGCAGTTTTCATTACATACCGTTTTTAGTGTAAGCACCGTGTCTCATTTTATTAACAATCCCTATCTGGTTTATATTTATTCAACAATTTTTAAATATTAAAAATAAAAAACTCCAAAAAATTAAATGTGGCTCATTTTAATAAAAATCCAAATGTTGTGTATTGTTTTTTATAGAAATCCAATGTATTTAAATTTACATTTATTCTATTTGTTTATTTTACAGCAAAACGCTTAGGAGATCAATGTTATTACATAGAGGCTTGTCAATATACAGACCAATATTCATCATGTATACAAGTTCATCACAACGCTGTCTGTCAGTGTAGAAAAGGCTATCATTCTGTATCGCTTCAAAAACCCGCTTTGAAAATGTTTTGCTCAAAAGGTACGAACATATAAATCCAAAACTACAATTATTTGTTTTATAAATCAATATTAAATTTTAAGGAAATTAAATTGTTTATATTATTTGGACAGTGCAATAAAATTAATTCGAATCATTGCAAAATATAATTAAAACAAACAAGGCAAAATTAATTGTGGGAATGGACAAAGTTTGTCTTTAATAAAATTATACACAACTAGTTTTTTACCCTTGACATTTTTATTAATTTTGTTGCATTGTAAATCTAGGGCATTTTATATTAAAAATACTTTTTTAGATATTGTTATAATCACAACCGACTTTAGCACCTTTATTGGAGTCATCGCAGGAATTGCTGTTCTAACAGGCTTAATTTGTTTTACTCTACATCTATTCAATCAAACACTATATGAAAATCATCATCACAGATTTGGAGATACGAATTTAATACCCACGACGTTATTTGCAAACAATTCAGGTAATAAAGCAACTAATTTAGCCATTTAATGTCCATAATGTTCGCATTGACCTTTTGTGATTTAATTAATTTCCTATTCTTTAAAAATATTTTTTAAATGCTTAATTTAAGTTTTTGAAATTATTTCTCAGACAATTAAGTTTTTTATGACCTACCTTGTTCTTAAACAATTGTAATAAAATTTGTTAATTTGAACAGTTTAATCATGTATTTATTTTCATAATCATATTTTATATCACGAGAACTATGAATTTAATCGGTTAAACTCGGCTCAGTAGTTTTTTGTTTCGTTTTTCTTGGAAAATGTTGAATGCAAAATAATTTAATAAAATCACGATGCCGCGTAGCGCTCGAGGGGTTTTATTTTTAATTATTTTGCCCCCGTCAGAAACTGTAGTGATCAATATTCTACACAATTATTATTATTTTAATTGTCTTTTCAAGTTTTTCATGCGGTATTTCAGTGGTCCCAATGCACATCTAAATATAATATATTATATATATATATATATTATATATGGTATACCATAAGAATTCTAATATAATAATATAATATTAGAATTATTATGGTATTATATTTGGATATGCATTTAAACCACTAAAATACCCCTTTAAAAGCTTATATTATAATATTTATTGATAATTTATTTCCAAGAAATAAACATATTATTGTTTTAATCATCCGATGGGTAAAGTTTTTGGTAAACTGGGGTATAAGGCCCTGACAGACCTTACAAAATATATACTTATAAGTGTGATGATGTGTTTAATATAGGTATGTCTTGGTGATTTTATGGGGATTAGAAAAAAAACTCTCAAAAATTGGAAAATGTCCATATGAGCCTTATCAACAATTATTGTGCGCCACTTTTTTTACATTTATCGATTTAAATTTATAAAAATGTGGTATCCTAGTAAAATAGCAATTATTTTATAGACTTACTCTTGTTATTTTTTATATACGAGGTGACCCAAAAAGTATAAACAAGTTTAATTTTTTTTAGTAGATTAGTTAATATATTAACTTTTATTGCAATACAATTTTAAAAGTATTGACCTAATTAAACAATTTACCACACCTAAATAAGTTTCTTATGCATTTTTGATTTTTTTTTCATATAATATCATTAAATTTTAAAAATATTGTTTATTTCACCAGCAGCAGCGAATTTTTTTTATTTATTTGATCATGGTTATAATTATTTAACAACCAATGTTATATTTTCCAAAAACTTTTTACAAAAATTCAAAAATTATCACTTTTTTACAAAAGCATAGTTATTTATTTATTATATAAGTTTTTTATGGTACATAACATATTTTTTCTACTCCCACCTTTAAAACGACCATTATCGTACATGTTTCCATGACACTAAGTGACCTATTAAATACACATTGACAAGTTGTGGCTTTACGGCGTTTTAGTCACGGGCTAAAGTTAGCAACAGGTGCTGAAGTTAGTTTTAAGATAGTTGACAGTTGTCAAATATCATACAATCGTTAAAATAAAGTGCCTTTCTTGTAAAATAATACTAAATGTGAAAATTATTTTATTATCTTAATACAAAAATACAAAAGTATTAAATAGTTTCTCAACGCCAATATTTGAAAAGTTTACATGAACATTGTACTGACCTTTTAATTTTGCCGCCACTGTAAAGGGCTCATTATACATTTTCTTTAATTTCACTGTAAAAAACTGCCCATTTTCAAGAAATACATTTTGATTTATAACCTTTATAATCTGTGTTTATAAAATATAAAACTTTGAAATTTAGTGGTGAAACACACATATTCCCCTATTGTTTCATAAAAATATTTGATTTAAATCATTTCAAGATAATAATAAGTATTTGGCGAAGAAAAAGTATAGTATGCACCTCGTTTATAAACTTTTCTATACACTCATTAATTTAAGAACTCGCTCGCAAGCTTGCTCTTGCCTAAATTAAATTCGTGTATATAATGGCGTTTTTCAAACTTGATACATAATATAGGTACCATTTTATATTGATGGCATCATTAAAATTGTTTAAAAGTTTTATAACATTCGCTGGTTAAAAGTAAAGTAAAGTAAAAATAAAATATATTAATTTTTTTTCAAATTTTTTAGTTTTTATTTTTATCTCGGGAACCATAAATATATGGAGAAAAGTAGTTTGTAATTAAAATAAACATTTTCTAGATTTAATAACCAAATCCTATATCAATAATTCAACCATAATTCTTGTAATTTTCAAAAAAGACTTTGTTTTCACAATCACATAAATGAACACAAAAATAACACAATTAAATTAAATAACACACCATTCTGAAATTATCAAATTATAAAGAAATTTGGTACAATACAATTATCAGTACTACTACAAAACTTACTGCAAGTTGCAGTCTGCAGTCTGCAACCATAACCCACTTCACTGTATCCCCTAATTTCAGTTTAAAAACCAGTGATGGCATTTTTTTTCTGATACTTCGCGCTTCGCACACTTGTTAAATAGATATAAGGAATCCAAATAACAATAAAAATAGATTTTTACTAATATATTATAAACCAGAGTGTTACGAACACGTTACGAATTAAAATAAATTAAGCAGAAACATAAGTTGCAGACGCTGCAGTCAGTTGAACTTGTTAATGCGTATTGTCAGTGGGAAATGTTTAGATTGACTGCCTGAATTCACGTGTACTTTTTCAACGAAATAATTTGTTAAACTTAACAAAATAATCTGTAACCTTTGAAATTCACAAAATGCTTACAAAATTGCATATTAACTTTCCAAACTTTCGATAAAATATTTTGTTTTGTTAAAATAATTAAAAACCCTGGTTTTCTAGAAAAAATTATGTTAAAATTATACAAAATAAAATTAACAAACTATAGAAACTCATGTTAACAAATCTGATTTTTATAACAGTGTAAGCTGCTTATGCTTTCTGGGACCTCAATTAATTTCTTTGAAAGAACTTTTGTAACAAATAAAATTTAAGGTTTTGTCATTTGTTTTACATTGCTAGTTTTTTTAATTAACCCTTAATTACTAAACACTATACATCAAAAATAAAAATAATAATTTTATTATTTCTTGAAAATGTAAAATAATGTTTTTTAGATCGACTTCCAATGCCAATGACCGAACAGAGTATGACATCCAGAACATCAAGCCGAAAAAGTTTCACGTATCAATTTCAAAAAGCTGGTTCCTCACAAAATTCACACATCAGTTCCCCTCGAACGGCAGCTGTCTTGTTGTTATCATACCATGTTCCTTCCAATGAGGTTATATGTAAAACTGATAAAAAAATGGGTAAAAAAATCAGTAAAGCAAAAATAATAGATTAAATAATATTTTAATTTTAGGTAGCAGACGGCCTAGTTATTCTTCAGTTCATAGTACAGTTTCAATAAATAGTTATAGTTCTAGACGTTTGGAACGTGATAGGGAACAAAAAGAAGAAAAGGAGATGCAACGAAGATTATCAAAAATTAAATCTGATAATGTAAATACCACCAATTTTAATTTAAATTCCCCCGACAATACTTTAGAGGAAAGCGAATACGAGGTAATTATGAATGCTTAATTATGCAATTTGGCTTTGGGTTCAAAAAAATATTAATTAATTGAAGACAAAAAAATTAACTCTAATACATTAAAACAAAATATCAAAATTTGTATGTCTGGAAATTAAAAAGTAAGGTTGTTATTTAGGCAAGTTAATTTATTATAATTTAGAAGTAGTCCATATATTAAGATGAATATATTTATGTTTAATATTGGAAATTTTTAAATATGGTCAAATATTTACACTTAACTTTAACTTAAAACCAAGACTAGTATAGCTGAGAATTCAGCTCCCTTCCACAAAAATCCCAATTGGGTCCCTATTTTTAATTGAACAATTTATTTTTTTAAAAAGCTACCGAAACTCTGTAACACAAAAGGCGTTGTTGACGTTAAACCTATCTAACACTAAAAGTCAACGTTAATTTATAAGAATAAAGATCTAAAAAATCTTGAATTTACACACATCTAAACACTTCAAATAAATAAATACTTACATCATAAAATATTTAAGTTTACATATTATTCCGGAATTGTACTGAGCATTTGGTATTTGCCAACTTTTTATCAGTAACATTCATTTCTTAGCTCTTTTGTATTATATGGATAACAAAGCTGTTAATCGCACTTATTTTGCTGCGAAAATAATTTATAATTATTTTTAGTTTTGAGGAAGATCGCTCTGCTAGGGCTACCGTAACAAGTATTATACAGTTTTATAGATAATATTTCATTTGTTATATTACTTCAAAAAATATTTTATCTGGTATATTTTTTCGAAACGATAAAAGCTAATGTATACATAGTCTTTTAAAACAAAACACATAATTTAATACCAAGGGGTTGACATTTTTTTACTCGTTAAATATTCAAATTATTCAAATATATCAGGTATTCAAACTGTAAAACTATTTTTTTTTGTAAAAATTAGTATAGTCTAATTTTCCGATGAAATAAAAAATATAGTTGTTATTCGCGAATTCACCCTTAAAACAAAGATAGAGGAAAAACTGAAAGGGGTTACTGGTCGAAAACTTGAATTTAAGCTTGCTATATGGTACCCTAACAATCGCCAAAAATGCACTGTTCAAAATTTCATGACCAATTTAACACCAAATTAACACCATACGTGGTCTATATCGATACAAACCAAAATGGTGTTAAATAAGGTTCGTTGGTCCGGTGTCAATTCAAATACTAAAATGGTGTTAAATAAGGTTCGTTGGCGGTGTAAATTCAAATACTAAAATGGTGTTAATTTAACTTTCACACAGTATTAAAATAAATTTTACCTGGTGTAAATTGAACTCCTTTTCAGTGTTAAATATTATGTGTTTGTGGTCAAATTATCATACTACACAGAAAAAAGGAAAAAAAGGAAACAGGAAGTTCCTTGACGCATTACTAGTATATTACCAGTGGTATTATTCCAGAAAATGAAACCTTCAACTCGCTAGAGATAATGTTTTTAGTGCGTTCCACTAACTTAAAATACTTCAAGTATTGACAGCTGTTTCCACCTATTTAAGGTCTCTTTAGTATCGAACAACTTGTAGTGTCACACCAAAGCAAAGTACTAGTTTATATATTCTTCATGTAAGTCAACAGAGGCGAGATTTAAGAACATCACGTGATCCACAAAAATATAAATACTTATGGGTCAACTGGGTTAAATTAACTATTCCTTTTTTTCTGTGTAGGTGCACTTCTCAAATATTTTTAGATAAACACCGTTTTGGTGTTCATTTTCAACCCTAATTCATGGTGTTATATTAACACCACTTGGTGTTGGATTTTGACACCATTTTAGGATTACTCTTTACACCGTAGATATTTTAAACAGTGTGTGAATTACCAAATGAATTGAAATAATAAAACCCTTATTCACTGGACTAAACGGTATTTGTTAGCCCATTTAGGTTAATTAACCAAAACAAACAAACAAAATATTAAAAAGCTAATAACAAATATTCCCGAACCCAACACAAGCAAATGCGTTAAGTAGGTACCTACGTGTCATAACACGACCATATTTTAACGTTAGTGCCTATGGCTTATTTAATCCCATTCTAGGCCATGTGGAAATCTTTAAATTACGCATAGAATTAAAATAAAAATTGTTTTTTTTGAGATATTTATTTTAGGACAAAACTTTGAGGTTATGTTTTTATAGATATAAAAAAATAAAGTTCGCCATGATGTACAGCTTAAAAATGTGATTTAAAATCATTTTTGTTTTTTAAAATTAGTTATATTTGTGGAAGATATAAGCCACTGTAACCCTCTCCGGTCTATTTTAACGATTTGTATACTTTACCTAACGCATCATTTAATTTGTTAAATATTGAAGTATCGAGGCAGATAGTTTGGCGCGTTTTGCCCCTTATAAGTATAAGAAATAAAAATCTTACTTTATTGAGGGCCGGTTTATCAATCTCTGGTTAAGTTCCAGTTAAATTCAATATCGATCGTTGTGAGAACAAACTCCAACTTTAACCGGACATTGCTAAACCGCCCCTGAGAAAGCTTTAAAAGAAAACGTACTAGTAGTAATAGAATATTAACACTTATTTTATTTTAGGTTTCTCTCCATTTAGCAAAAGAAGAATCAATGACATTACGTGAAGATATTCCATCAACTTCAAACCAATCATTTTGAAACTATTAATACAATTTTTATCGAATGCATCGTAAAAATTCTACATATCATAGTTTAAATCATCCTGTTTTATATTATTTATTATGCATAAGGTTATTTATAAGTATTAATATACTTTAAAATGGGTTTTTTAACAAATTGTTGGAATATTACCTATATGTCTGATGTACAATAAAATGTAAATTGTAATTTTTATAGTAAATAAAAAATTGTTGTTAATATGAAGCACTTCAATGTTGTGAAAACATATAAATGACTAAATGTAAACCCTTAGATAGATTAGGTTTTGTTACAAAATGTATGCATTTAATGCTTTTGTTACATTTATACTGTAGTGTAAAAAAATAAAATTGATTTAAAAAATCATTTTTTAAAATTTATCAATTTAATTCCAAAAAATACTAATATTGAAAATAACACAAGTGTTAAATTGGCAAGACCATTTATTTAGCCCCCTGCTAAATGTTAATAAAAAATTAAAAAATTACTCCGCAATCATGAAAATGTTCTAGTTTAAATGTAAACTTAAAAGGACTGACAAACTTTTTTGAACTTTTTTTCTTTATATATTTTTTTACTTGAGATTATTTTTCGTGATTTTATCTTAGTCTAGTAAAATTTTATGTTGACTTTAAAGCGCTGGGTTTTTGTGAAAGCATTTATTATGTTTTATAAAAAAAATCACTTCCAGGATATGCTTTTAAGCGTTGATTGAAGAACTTATTAATCAATGCCGACAGTGGACTAGTGGTCAGTGCTGCTTACAAACTGAGAGGACGTTGGTTCGAATCCCCCATTGGTATGGTTGTTTATTTGGGTTTGTTCTATTGTATATTAGTCCTTCAGAGGGTCTTTAGCCTGCGGTCCCTTCCTACCCCTAACCCGCACAAGCCATTCAGTTGGCTTCTGGGACTTCTTAGGAAGTAAGGGTGGGACTAAAAGAGCACTTTTGTATATACTTTTAAGCATATCCTAGAAACTTTTCTAAAAGCACCCTAAATTCAAGCCCTGGTGGTTTTTGCAATAATATCAAACATTATAATGTTTTCAAATATTAAATAAAATAAGTTAAAAAGTTTTTCTAATGTTAAAATATTAGAAAGTATTTTTAAATCAAGAATGTATGGACAAAAATCGTGAGCTAATTTCTCGATCAAAGATCAAAAATCTAAAGCACGGTGCTGTTCTGAGAAGTGATTTTCAGACTTTCTGAGAAACTTTTTTTGTGAAATTCTATTTATTTATGATGCAACTAAGAATTTAAGAGCAAAATTAAAAAAATCCCACGGTTAGTTAAATACATCCAAGTTAAAATTTCATGACTACCTTAAAATAAACTTTTAATTGTAAGTATAATAAAAGTTTAAGGTTATAAAAAATTATAATTTATTTTTATGAAAATAATCTTTAATAAAATTCAAACGTTTTGTCAATATATAAATAAAATCGAAAGTTTTAAGTGGATAATTAAAATAGGGCACAATATTCTTAATAAAAATCAAATTAAAAAAAAATTAACCGTGGGATTTTTTAAATTTTGCTCTTAAATTCTTAGTTACATCATAAATAAATAGAATTTTACAAAAAAAAGTTTCTCAGAAAGTCTGAAAATCACTTCTCAGAACAGCACCGTGAAAGCTATGTTTATGAATTTCGGAATATAATACAAAAGTTTTTAGGTAAGTACCACAATTTTTATATTAAATAAAGTAACGGTATAACTAAGTATTTTTCATAACATAAACGTCTATTAACGGTCAAGCGGTCTATAAATTAAACTTTAGTGTCGTTAAAACTGGACTCTAAAATGCCATTTGGTCCTTGTGCTTCGCTCAAAAGGCCGTCAGCCTTTAAACTTTGAGCTCAGCACAAACTATTAACTTGGATTTTTTTAAATAAAATTTTAAATTTGTCGATAAATTATAGTAGATAATAAATTGCACCACTGGGGCATTCCACGTTACTCGGTAATTTTTGTCCCACCCGTCACAATTAAAAATGGTGAGTAAAAGCCACATGTTATTAAATTAATATTTTATAATATTATTTTTATTGAGCTTATAACTTATTGAAAGCATAATAAACAATATTTTAAAATAAATTTTATATCGTGTAGTTTTTACTCACAATTTTTAATTGTGACGGGCGGAACAAAAATCCCCGAGTAACGTGGAATGACCCCACTTTAATTTGAATTATCTCAAATAGGGCCTGGAGGCGGGTGAGGCAACAGGAAAAACTAACTTTTTTTCGCAAACTTCAAATTAAATTCTGTTTGCACCGAACTTGTTCATTTAGTGTCATTATAAACTATTATAAATTTGGTGTTGGTCCCATGTCTAATAACTGAGATATTGGTATTCAAAAAATCCACAAGCCGCGGCTAGCCGCCACTTCAAGTTACGTTATAATTAATAATGTACTGTGACTTTAAAACTAATTAAAATAAAGCCAATACAATACAGGCTTAAATCAAAACTTATAATTAACAATAAAAAATACGTGGAAGTACTTCCACTTAAGTAATCACAATTATATAATGTATAGTTTTATTGATACGTTTACCTCGAGATAACCGTTTTGAGCGACCCGATGGAGCTCATCGATAGATTACGATAATAATATGCGTTAATTTAAACTTGAATGGGACTTCATTAAAAACTATTATGCACTATGCGAAAGACACCGACATGCATATGTATGACAAGGTAAATGCTCCTACTTTTTTATGATTGTGGGATAATTTGCAAGCTATTGTCAGTGTGTGTGAGTATATTCCTAGTGTAAACATAGTTTAAAATGTTAGGTTTAGTGATGATGAACAAAAAAATAGTGTTCATGTTGTGGTGGCTGACAAGCTTTATGTTGCTTAGGACCTCCGCGCAATTAAACATCCCTCAACAAGTAAATTATCCTCAACGATCAAATGTCCCACAGCAAGTGAATATTCCGCTGTCTCCTCAGTTTGCTCCCAATGTTTATTTTGTAAATAATAGTAATTTTAACAACAGAAATTTTATTAATAACAATAGACCATATGATTTTGACTTTGCCGGTAGAGGAAATGCGGAAATTTTTGATATTTTGCAAAAAATAGACTTGGAGTCCACAGAAAGGTGCACTATGAATGTTGCGGCCCAGTGGAATTTTGAGACTAATGTTAATGTTGAAACACAGAGTGAAGTAGTAAGTACAACATCGTTTATTCATATGTTTTAACAACACATTTACGAGCTAATACACATTGTAATAATAATTCTTGATATGAATTTAACTTATCTTTTTTATAATTTTTATATTATTAAGCATGCAATTTGTGAATCACAAATCGTACCTTAATGCCAAAATTATATATGTTAAAAAAGCATTATACTTCTAATGGTTATAAACAATATAAGTACGGGGAAGTCGCTGATGCATGAAGTAGATTTCATTATCTATAGCCTTATGTTTAATTCGCTAAGCTTTGAAGTTTTTATGAATTTAAAACTATACATTAAATTGCCCCTTAAACTATACGGTTTGGATAAACTCCTAAACCGACAAACGAATGCAGCGAATTTTGGGGATAATTTAGATCATCGTATTTAAAAATGCTTTCTAAAAAATCCTTTTGAATTGTTTTATTTATAAATAGAAGGGTATAATTTATATTTTGTGCAAACCCTTGTGAATAATTATAAACATGGGAAACGGGAATAATGAGCTTATTATTCACGTTTTTAGGCATCAGTCATTGGCCGCCTTCAATATTAACTAATCTGGTTTTAAATTGGGAGAATTATATATATATTATATATTATATTGTATAATAACATTTAAAATTGGTAAAAAGTGAAGTTAATCATTTGGCAGATGTCATATTTTATTTAAATATTTTTAAAAATCATTTAATTATCTACTTATTCGAGTAGAAGTATAGTATTATACTCAAGATTATGCGCATTATCTCGTGTATAATAATATACCATTTTTAATTGTAACGATGGTTACATATAAGAGTTAAAAAAACTAACTAAAAGTGTCAAATGGTTACAATATAATAGTTATTTATGACATTAGGTTAAGAAGTAAGGCTTTTTGTGCTAAGCTCAAGGTTTGAAGGCCGACGCGTAGCGGAGGCCTACAATTGAGCGAAGCACAAAAAGGCACTTCTTGGCCGAATGCCATACAACATTTTATCTTCAATGCATTTTATATAGGTCAATTTAACATTAAAGCCTCAATTTTTTAGAATGTCATTTATTTATTAGCTAAAGATTACATTAAATGTACAATAATTATTATTGCTTTTAGAAGCAGTAATAGTTTGACAATATTTAGGTATTTACCTAGTAACATGATTTAAGTAGAAATGGATTTTTGCTATTACATTGAATTCAATTAATTGTTTAATAAATAGGTAGGTATCTAATTTTAATTTGTTTGGATTTTTATTTAAAAAATAGGTAGTTTGGAATGTTTAAGCTGTGTTTAACATTTAATTTCACTGAAAACTTAATGCAAATTAAAACTTAAAGATAATTTAAATCGTAGAAAAAGAATCGTGCGTTTTCTAACATACTGGTTGCCTAACCTCACTTTTTGTTTTATTATTCATATTTAATTTACAATAATTTAATGAAAAATATTAAACATTCACAGTAAAACAAACAAATTAGTGCTTATTATAAATAAATTAAACCAGTTTAGTACGTTAATTTCTTAGAAAAGGATTAATTTGTTAAAACAATACCCCTAGCGAGAAAAAATATAACTAATTACTTGCCTCATAAAATTTTTTATCGGCCTAGGCCATAACAAGGTATTTCTTTATCGAATGTTGACAACAATTAAGTTTAAATTATAGACCGCGTGGAGATAAAAATATTTTAACCATTTTAGATAATCAATTAGTAATAATAATATTTTTTTAATGTCAAACGGCCATCTTCCTTATAATAAACATTTTTATTATTGTGGGCAGTCAAAGCCCACTTGATAAATATGTTTAAATTACTTTAGTTGAAAATGTAATGTTATTGGGAGTGCGTTGCAAATTTCCAATGGAAATATCTTTAAATCGGTGAATAGAAGCGATATTTATATAGCAAAAATTATCAATGAAGCAATATTTCAAAGAAAAAATTAAATGAAACAAAGAGTTAATTACGTAGTTTTAAAATAAATGGTGCAGGTGGCGCTCTTTATAAAATAAGTTCCAATGGGTTAAATATTAAAATTTCCTTCTCATCCTAAATTTCGCTAAAAATGACTAACTGTTTAAATTCGGACCAAAATAATGTAACTTAATCTCAATATTTTTTCGTAAATAATCTGCTGTTATTTACTATTACTTATGGGACAACCTGTAGGTATAGAAACAATTATTTTTTTTGCATTTTGCTCGTTACCGCCATGGTTTTGTTTTACAATGGGTATCTAAAAATGCTTATTTTTGTTTATGACAAAAACTTATTTTTTTTTTAATCTATAGCTATAATAAACTGGGGATTTTAGATTTTACAAAATATATGTATGTTAAATGAACATTAATTTTTTTTTAAATAAATTGAAATCAATTAATAGGAATAGGTTAAGATAATGACTATATTAGGTCATTTTAATTAAATCTGGAATCTTCAAAATATTTGTTTCGTATTTCTTTCAAATATAAAACGTACACCTTTAAGTATTGAACCACGACAACAAGCAAATAAATAAACATTATATGTGGGATGCGCAATATGTTTATAAAAGTTTGTCTTTTTAAGGACTAAAAGTCTAAAATGGAATCCTAATTTCGGATATATCGACCTATCCTTAAGAACTAACTCTCTCGACGAGATTGTCCAAATGTTTGTATCTAACGAAACATTTCGAAAAACTTCTATTTTATGGCATCTTTTAGAAAAGATTTCGGGTCTCTTATCAAAAAGCTTGTATCTAGAAAGTAACCGATTGGTCTAAATTATTTTTTCTACGACCACTATGTAAAAGTCACATTTCGTATTGGCATCGTTGCTTAGAAAATGAATCTTTTCATTGGCAAGGCAAAACACGAATGTAAAGTGACATTTCTGTGTGAAAAGTGACAGGTCTGTGTGAAAAGGAATTGACAGCATCGTTTGACATTCATTTCAAATTTTGTATTGTATTTGTAAATGTATGTCTAAATATCATTTAGAACACAATTAATTGTGTTTGTATAATAAATTCTAGTTTTTAGTGCCTTTATTTAAATTGAGAAGGTAAGTTTACTGATTTTAAGTAACTTATACCTTAAAAATTAAGATGAAAGAATTTAAACATTGTGTTTCACTTGTGAGAAAAGCTTTCTTCAAGCTCGTGTTAAAGCATACTCGGCCTAACGGCCTCGTGGGCAACTTAAACAACTATTAAAGCCTAAGCAATAATCAAGTACTAGTGTGTGTTGACAATAATAAAGTTTAAATTATAAAACGCTTGAAGACAAAAATAAATAAAATAAAGATATGACTACAAAAAAATAATTAAAAGTGTTGAAAATACGCGCATGCGCATCGATATCTCACGAATTGGAGATGATTCTTAGTAGCATTATTTCAATGAAGATAAAAAAGTGTCACTTATAAATATCAGAAAAAAAATTCTATTTACCTAGTTTAAATTACTTTTTTCTTTAATTTCAGTACTACTTATTAAATATAAAAATATTGGTACCTAAAACTAAGATTTGTTTATTTCACATGAATATTCGTATTCTATGAATTGTAAACCATATTTCAATGAAGATCAAAAAGTGTCACTTATAAATATCAGAAAAAAAATTCTATTTAGTTTAAATTACTTACTTTTTTTTTAATTTCAGTACTACTTACTAAATATTGGTACCTAAAACTAATATTTGTTTATTTCACATGAATATTCGTATTCTATGAATTGTAAACCGTAGTCAAACTTTCAACTCTCATTCCTGAATATTAGACTTTCATTAGGTACGTATAAGATTTAACATGTTAGGATATATCCTGAAAAAACTATACAGTACTGTGGCGAGATTGCCATCTCGCCACAGTACTGTATAGTTTTTTCAGGATATATCCTATAGGTCGAAAAATAAAAAATACCCGATTTCTTAGGAAAATTCTCAAAATTATGAATTCTTCCTATTGTGTGGACCAACTATAACGGAATAACCGATTGACCTTAAACATAACAAAAATTACAGGTTCATTAATATTACACATTTAATTATGATAATTACAGTTCACCGAATCAATTAGATGAATACCTACTGATGAATACAGTAAAAATTAAAATGATTCATTTCTCATTTCTTATAATCAATCCACTTAATATTTAATATGTATAATTTATTATAAATACATATATTTCTAATATTACCTAAGTAGGCAAAAATACAAAATTAAATTAAAAACTTATAAAATGTGTTAACTACAAATGGATTAAATTTAAAGGAAAGTAGATTTTATCTTTTTTGGTTTTGATATTTTAGAACGCATAAGTGAAATACTTTCACTGAAAGCATTGTTTAAGGAAAAAAAATCCCATTAGTTTTATGATAACAATTACTATATGCTTTAAATGTATATCTTTCTATTTAGGAAAAAAATGTAATAATAATTATAATATTAAAATTTATTACAATAAACACTTTTCTTTATTGGTAGTATAAATACAGAATAATACCAAATCAACAAGTTATAATAAAAATTTAAATTTATTTGATACAATCATGGTTTATAATAGTTATTTATGTATGAAGGCAGTAAAGTCGTATTTTTTATCATGAATGTGGAAATTATTTGTCGAGGCGAAAGCCGAGGCAAATAACCACGTGACTGATAAAAAATTACTTTAATGCCGAGGTGCATATTAAATTGTATCCGAAATCACATTTAATAGTACTGCGGGGGTTGTAGTGAGGTATTTGGCGTGTGAAGTTAAACACTTGTGTTGTTCGTAGTACGTTATTTATTTAAAATGAAAATAGTGGTGTAACTTACAACAGCGTTTAAGTTGGATGTCGAGGCCCGATAGTTTGGAACTTAACTGAATGATGTCGACCGGATGGTGGAACTGTTCTGAGTTCTGAATGATTAGTTTGGGATAGGACTAGGTTTTATATTTTAGATACAGGTAGTTCGGCCGTTACGTGCTCTTGTATGTCGACCTGAAATTTGGAGCTAATGCAAGGGCTTTCC